GCTTCATGATCTTGATTAAACTAAACTAAGCCATCTTTTTTGTTTTACCAGGTCAACCCCACCGAGATATGTAGCTCTATTTCAGGAACAACCTGGCCATAAATGGTAACTCAACGAAGCATGTTTCTAAATGTGTAGGGAAAAACCGGAGAAAAATCCACACGACCACGGGAAGAGAGACACACAAACTCCAAATACACAGCAGGCGTCAGGGTCGGGATCTAACCCACGACCTGCATACCAGGCGAGGTACTTAACATATCTACACCGTGGCATCATCGTAGGATTTTGTCGTGGTGTCCTGCAAGGGGCTATCGTGCCCCTCTACCTCGCGTACCTCTGACCTCCACACGGCACTTTTCTTCAGCTGTGCCGATTAGCGAATAGCTCGTTCTGAAAAATCTCTTTGATAAACTCGCATTGTTGATGAATGTCTACTCAATCCAATTGTAATGACGTTTTAAATGTGAGCACATCGCAAGACGTTATCTGGTTGCTGTGCATGGGAAGCCGGTTTGAGTCGCAGGTGTCTGAGTGAAAACCTGAGATCTTTGTCTTTGCTGGCTCCATGGCGTCTTGTCACCTTTGTCCGCCCGGCAGTGCTGATGATTGTTCCTGATACCAAAACGAATTTTAAAAGACGTGCCACGTTTTATTTTTAGGCTCACCGACCGTGAACGAGGTACAGACTAAATACGGGTGCCGACAAGCACCGGCAATCGGATTTGTATTGCGGTGCGTTCATCGCCTTGACGGCTGCATATATAGTTGCGTTCATGAATTGAATGGTCACAATATGGGTTCGGACAAAAACGTGTACAAGCGATCCCCTTCCACGCGTAGCGGTGTATTAATATCAGAGCGACGATGTCGGAGCGGAGGAGGGCCCCCGGGTGCCTCGGAGGCGAGAGCGCCGAGGCGGCACGGCGCGGCTCTGATGGTGGGATCCAATCCGGAGAGCGGCCGCCCGTGATCGAACCGTGGTCTCAGCCTGGTCAATGTCTGCACACGAAAAAAACACAAAGATGCTCCCCCTCCCCCCCGTGTAGCCTCAACAGACTGTTGGGGCAAGTGCTGTTAGCGAGCAGCCCCTATGAAGGCCGGCACGGCACACGAGGGGGTAGGTGGCCCAGTGGTGATGTTTACACACCGCACCAGGTACTTATTTGAGGCTGAGCCGACCTAGGCGAGGCCCAGGACCAGTTCAGATAATCGTCACCGGTGTTGGCCGTGAGCGGGAATCGAGCTCGGGTGCCTGAGTTCTTAGTGCAGCTCGCTCACCACCACACTACCGCTCCCCATATTTGCACACACACACACACATATGTAGAGGACATTACATTTAATTCTGGACTTAATTTGACAAGATTCCAATTTCGAGAATTAAAAATATCGGTTGACTGTCATGTGACGGACAATCCTGTCTGTCGGAGCATTGGGGAAAGTGCTGCCCTGACACTGCGTGGACTGGAGGACACTTGAAGGGATTTCAGAAGTAGCTTTGCGATCTCCACTTCTCTGGGCCATTCTCTGAACTAGAAGGGCTTGCATACCGCTCAGTGAAAGATCGGAATAGATGCTTCATCTCGTGATATGACACCTCCGGCACAATTGAGATGAAGAGGAACAACTCAGTAAAAAACATGTGGAGTCATCACGGGAGGTGAATGCTGGGGAGTGGATTTGGCACGGGCAGTCCTCAGATTTCGACGTGATCATCTGAGTTTTGATGAGTGCTCCGCACGGGATTAAAAACAGGAATCGCATTCAACAAACGCCCTCCCAGTGGGTCTTCTGCATCAAATTAATGCTCAATTTGGAAATGTCGAGACTGTGGCTTGCACGAGATTATTTCTCTGCACTGCAAGTTCGGAATGCGATGGCGATTTGCGTCCCACGTGAGCTTTACGTGCCCTGCACATGAATATGCGTCTCCTGCCCAAGCGCACTCGTTGTTCTGAAGAGTGGATAGGAATTCTCACTTCCTCGGTCATCCTCGCAGTGACTAATGGCTAATCATCGAACAAAGACGGTCACTGCATCGCGCGCTTTCACGTGCGCTTCTGCGGCCGTCTGGAACGCTCTTCCTTTCGATATGCGGAAGTCACTGAGAGCTATTCACTCTTAAATCATTATCGAGATTGAAAACTCATTCCTTTAGAACTGCCTTTTGTGTTTAGTTTGTTGTCCTTCCACCGCACCTCCCGATTCGTGCTGTTGGCTATGTACGGTGCGAAAGAAGTTCAACATACGTACGTACGTACGTCCCGCTGCTGCACATTCGCAGCAGTAGTAGCAGCAGCAGCGTTCAATTCACGTTGACTGTGAAGAGACTCTCAAAGGCCCCGCATCTCCCGCCTGGCTTCCCAGTGACACTGAGCTTGGCCCCGCGCCTCAGTTTCGATCATTTCTGCCTCTGAAATATTGTGCGTGCGTTACAGACTGCAGTGTCATTAATGTTATTTGTGCTATCGCCCATTCCACCCACACAGTGCGTGGGGCAGGTTCTCCTCCGGGTGGATAATTTCCAGGGGCCCTATGCCCTTCCTATGCCATTCTAATGCAGCTCTTAACGCCGTTGAAATCGACTGTGGACTGGCCGTTGAGTTGGAGGCGGGGCGGGTGGAGACGCTTACAGCGGGGGCAGCAAGGCGGCTGTGGGACTCGGTTGAGCGAGGAGCTTTTTGCTGATGTCTCGTCGCAGAGTGTGTGGGTTTTGATAACTGCCCCCCCCCCCCCCCACCAGTTTCCTCCCACACACAGCAAAAAATAAAATACCCAAGAAGACGTTGTGCCTCGGAACGCTAAGCAGAGCCCTTCGTGTGCAAGTCTTTAGGAATTGATGGGACATTGCGCGATAGAGATTTCAAAAATATTATTTTTTGTTACAAGCGATCAATTATCTAGCCCTTCATCGGCCTTGGGCAAACATCAGCCCGAGCATTAACCGCGGTCTATGGGTTGACTCTCAGAAGGGGGCCCCGCTTTAGGTTATGAAGCCAGCTCATTTTTTATTAACGTCGCACGTGGGAGGGGATCCGTGACACCCAAAGAAAACCCCCTCGATGCGACGGGCTACTGCCACAATGAAATCCACGCAACACCTACTTGCCGTGCTGCCTTCCGTGGATGCCACTTTTTTCTGATCCGTATGCCGTGGCAGGCACTCTTTTAACTTCTTTTAACGCTCTGGTTGCTCGCCATGAGACTCGGGGGTCCAAGCCAAGGTCGCCACATGCCTGGTTTTAACCCGGCACCTCTGTTCGGGTGGCAGGAATTTATTTGTCCAGAGGTCTGGTACCGTTACTGCAGAGCACCACACAGTGTTGATCGAGAGTTGAGCGGTGGTCAACCTGCGTCTCCCAAGCCGCATGCGCCTCTCAAATCCACCACACGCGCCTCTATCGGAGGGAGCATAACGTAGAACGTGCAATCACAGCGGTAGCAAAGAATACTGAATGTTGGGGTAAGCGCTGTTAGCGAGCACCTATGAAGAACGGTACGGGGGAGGGGGGGGTGGCCAGCAACCACGCCCGGCCACTTTTGTCTCCCAAGTGGCGGTGTTTACACACCGCACCAGGTACTCATTTGAGGCCCAAGACCAGTTGAGCTAAACGTCACCAGTGGTGGCCGTGAGCGGGAATCGAACTCGGGTCGCTGGGTTCGTAGCACTAACCGCTACACTACCAATCCCCACACATATATGTATACATATACTTGGCTCTTTGCAGAAGTCACGGGTACTTTTTAGCTCTTGGTCTGTTACAGGTTGGCCACCCCTGATCTAGACTCTAAACTATTAAACTTTTTTTATTTCACTAGGTAAGGCCCACTGAGCTACACAACTCTAGTTTAGAAGCGACCTGGCCATAAATGATGGCTCAACGAAGTGATTTATATTGTGGAAATGTATAGCAGCGACATACTCGAAGCGTACGTTTCTAAATGTGAAGGGAAAAACCGGAGGACCCGCAGAAAAATCCACGCGACCACGGAGAGCGAGAGAGAGACATGCAAACTTTAAATATACAAGCGTCAGTGTCGGGATTGAACCCACAAACCTCCTGTATACCAGGCGAGGTAGTTAACATCTCGTCTTGCTGACAAGGCCAATGCTGACTGAGAAATCTGTTTTATTTACAGTGGTAGCAACTGCAGCTCCATTATTGATGGAAGAAGCAGGGAGTGAGCATTACTGGGTCATGGGTGCCCTTTCTAACAAGCAAGGACAATCCGTGAAAGGGACGTGTGTAGTGGTGCTGTAGTCATTTGGCTTTGCAGCTCCGCTGGCCGAGTGACAAACTAGCGCAAGCCCAGGGCCACATGAGCCACATGTGGAAATTGATGCAATTTTCTGTTTATGTACTGAGTAGATAGCCAGCGTGTGCGCGTGGGGTGCGTGGCGTTTGTGGGGTGTGTGGGGGAGCGGGTCGTGTGGCGGATTGCTCGCTGCGCTGCGAACCCGGCGACCCGAGTTCGATTCCCGCTCACGGCCAACACCCGATGACGATTATTTTAACCGGTGTTGGGGCCTCCTCTAGGTCGACTCGGCCTCCAATGGGCACCTGGTGCGCTGTGTAAACATCGTCACTGGGGAGACAAAGGCGGCCGGGCGTGGTGCTGGCTACCCACTCTGTTCGTGTGCCGTGCCGGCCTTCACGGGTGCTCGCTAACAGCTACTTGCCCCTACAGTCTGTAAAACTATGCGTGGTGACAAACCCCAGCGGGGAAGCGGCGACGCAGCGGTCCCCTGTATAGCCTCAACAGACTGTTTGAGCAAGTGCTGTTAGTGAGTAGCACCTATGAAGGCCAGCATGGCACACGAGGGGGTGGGTGGCCAGCACCAAGCCCAACCGCCTTTGTATCCCCAGTGGCGATGTTACGCATACACACACACAGGACCGTTGACCGTCGTACGCAATGACGCTGCGTCGGGATTCTTCACCGTGGCTGCCGGGGGGGCTGTGAGACGCTAACCGGCGGCCTTTTTTGTACCGCAGGGCCAGTTCTGCGACGTGTGCCGCGTGGACGCGCCCGAGAAGGCGCACCCCGCCAAGAACGCCATCGACGGCACCGAGCGCTGGTGGCAGAGTCCGCCGCTCTCGCAGGGGCTCCAGTTCAACGCCGTGAACGTCACGCTCGACTTTGGCCAGGTGAGCCTCACCCCACGGTGACCCCATCGGTGTAGCCACGACGCACGCGGCGAGGCTCCGGCGGAAGACCCGCGCGTGTTCTTCGCGTTCGCGAATCGCGGCTTGCTCCGACCGCTTCACGTAAGGTAATTGGGTCGAGGTGCAGCCGTGCCATTACTCGCTCGCTCTCACGCCGCTGCGGGCGGAGGGGCCTCCACTGACTGGAGGCCGCTCCAGAGAGGGCCCCTTCAGGAGGGTGTTGTTTCGGCCTACTCTTCCACGCTGGACAAACGTCCGTTGTACTCTTTGGTTCTTTCGTTAAAGTCACGTAGGTATAAAATAAAATAATCACGACGTTTTGGGCGCAACACAAGCGTCCATAATCAGGTGGGAAAGCATAACTCAAAGCTACACCTGATGATGGACGCTTGTATTGCACCCAAAACGTCGTGCTTTATTTTACTTTATACCTACGTGACTTTACCGAAAGAAAACAAAGAGTATGGATTCCTGCAGTAACGAAAGCTTCAAATCAAAACGTCCATTGTTGAAGAAGTGGGAGTAGCCACGCTTTAACCCCACCGGCGGAGTACCCGTTTGCATCGCTGGCTGGACACCAGCGTGCTAGGGATTCAGTAAACTCGATTCAAACAATTGTTGCGACTGCCGCGCCAGGGAGATCAAATCGAACCGGCGAGCTGCCACGTTGCTGGCCCATTTTGCTAAACGTTCGGCCACGTGCAGCAGGCCTCGGGAGAACGAAGGCAAGAATGTAAATTATTTTTGATAAATTTTATGAGTTGTGATGGTATTACAAGCGAGGGTTGGTTTGCGGTTAATGAACTGCCACTGCTTTGGTGCATTGCCCCGGTGGTTTGTAGAATTCTCAGCGGGTTCTCCTAAAGAGGCAACACAAATATATAGATCAGCTTGCATTGACCGTAGGTTGTAGTTCTGTGATATCCGTGTCCGCGGACCATTCTCGAACGCAAAGGCTCGCGCCGCTCTGCGAGACGTCCGCATGGATTCTTCGACTTTGTGACGCGAACGCCGCCGGCGCAATCGGGGTCCTTGTTCCCTCAATTCTCACCGACGTGCACTCACCAGCGTGCCGAAGCATTACAAACAACGCCGGCGACGGACATGGCGGCGTGGGTCGACGGAACCTCGGCCTCCACCCGCCCCCCCGCCCCCCGTCAACTCCAGCGACCGAGACATGTCTCTCGAGGTCTGCGAGGATTTCGTTTTTTTACGCCTGAGCTCCCGCCTGGAATGTGAGGCCGCAACGATTTTGCACACTGCAGTAAATGGAATTACGCTTTCCTTTATCGATTAATATCGATATCTTGAGCACGCGACGCCCGTATCGGATCGCGCGTGTGAGCATTCTTGCTGTTTTAGGCGAAATGCAACGAGTTCTTATCAACCCCCCCCCCCATCTTCCCTGTGGCCACTACAGAGGCACGATCAATCATCGCAGTTTACAAAAAATATTCTTCAATGGAACCGCGCAATCTTGCACCCTGACAATTAGTGGAATCTCCTGGGGGGGACGATGGTGGGAGAGGAGTGGGTGTTGGAGTAAGGGTTTATCATATCCAGCCTTACCTTTGATGTTAAACAAAATACATTTCAACGGATGTGCCTTTGTGGCACAGGGTGTCAGGTCAAGGTCTGAGAGAAGTGTTCCCTCCCTGCCCCCCCCCCCCCCCCACTATAAAAAATTCGCATTGGGGTGTAATTGATGGCATCCCTAGGCGCAAGCAGTGTAAGCACCGAAGCTCTGCCCATCTTGTAGATGCTTCCGCATCTCAATGTGCACCGAGATGCCTACGGAGTGGGACGCTCCTTGCGTGCCGGTACGTGGAGCCGAGTCACTCATCGTTTCGAGTTGGAGTTTGAGAAATCAAACGGAACCTGCCCCGGCACTAAGCCTCCACGTCCATTGTCGTGTGCACGCGGCCTGGATGCACACTGTCTCCTGAAACAAAGCGTCGGCCCTTGCAGTACGGAAGAGCTGCATCGATGTACATCTTTCCGCTCACGACGTCACATCTTGCCCCCTCGCTCGCATCTGCCGGCGCCACTCCAGCGCAGCTAGTGGCGCTCGTACGGGGGGGGGGGGGGGGGGGGGGCGAGTCTCAGCGTCCCGGAGTGGAATTCTGCATTGTCTGCCAGTGAGCGTAACCCCAAACACGTGCTTTTATTGCTCAACGGATGCATCCCTCAGATTGATGGATTTCTTTTTGGGGGGTGGGGGTGGTTTTGTCCGAGCAGTTGTGCACGGTAAATGAAAACTGTTTCTACAAAAGCCGACGTTTCTCTCCGGCAGACATTGTGTCGGCTCTCTTGCTTCAGCAGTTTGATTCGTGCGTTTGGATGATTTTTCCACATGATGAGCCACTTCGTCGAGCAGTCACTTGTCGCCAGGTCAGAATCAGAATAGGAATATTTATGCTGCAGGAATCCGATGAGCTATAAAGCTCTTTTTCACCACGTGTCCAGTCGGGGCGGGTAAGAACGTTACAACAATAAACAGGACAGAAACACAATCGGAGTGCAAAGTACAAGAAAGGCAAAGAAATCGGCCAAAAAAGTACAAATAAAACTAAACCATCCCATTCCTACCATGCAAAACCCACAGAGGTGTTAACTTATTTCTCAGAACCGACCTGGCAACAGATGATAGCTCAACAAAGTGGCTTATTGCGTGCGAAATGTCTAGCCGCAAAAAATAATGTCCTGAACAAGCGCTTAGTAGCTCAGTCGGCTTTGCCTCGTAAATAAAATAGTAAAAACAAAGTACAGTAAAACCGTGGATTGCGAGCATAATTTGTTCCTGAAACGTGTTTGTAATCCAAAGCACTCGTATATCAAAGCACTCGTGTATCAGTTGTGACCACGTGACGCTCGGCAGACAAAGCGTATACTGTACTGCTCGTATTGCAAGACCTCGCTCGTTTATCAAATTAATATTTATTGAAAAAAAAAATATCGTCTTGAAAAACACTCGCAGACCAAGTTACTCGTAATCAAAGGTTTTTTACTGTAAGTAGTTTTTAGTTGAATACGGCCCTTCCCTCGGCTAGGCATTGCGGAGTAACCCGCTGGTAACCCAGGCACGTGGAGTTGGTGAAGATGCGACGGTTAAAAAAACAGGCGGTCATGCAGGCTGGCTCGGGGACGTTTCTCCCACTATTTGAGGAATTCTCTTCGGGGGCCCGCTCTGGTTAAGACTCTCTCAGGCTTCCGCACTGAATTCGAAGAATGTTGAATACATGTATATACAAGTGTGTCAAAATTCTGCTCGCTTTTAAACATTCCTCCTGTTTTTTTTTTGCTGACAACGAAATCGGTTGGCGTATTTGCCCCTCCACGTGATGACTTGATTTGATTGGCTCCACCGCTGTCGTGGAGGAGAGTGTATGGTTAAACGCCGACATTATACATGACTGCAAGATACAACCCCAGCGGTAACCAATCATATAATCAGTCTTAAATGTCTTCAAAGTCCAAGTGCCTCCATGCCTCATGTTGGCAGCCCTGACTCAGTGGTGGCGAGATGTTAACGACCTCTCTTGGTAAATAGGAGGTCGTGGGTTCGATCCCGACCCCGAAACCTCTATATTTGGAGTGTGCGTGTTCTCCCCGTGGTTGCGTGGATCTTTCTCTGGATCCTCCGGTTTTTTTCCCTTCACATTTGTAAACGTGCGTTTGGAGTATTTTAAAAAAGTGTTTCTGTAGGTAAACCACAGTTCATTTCTCTGCAGAGTGGAATATAACAAAGTGCATATGTTTTAAATGTGCATCTTGTGGGCAGGTGCAAGTTGAATTGTGTCATCGCCAGTCCATGAGAATTGTCCACGGCTTTAGGGTGGGGGGGGGAGATGGGGGGTATTCATACAGCAGGGTGAATAGAGAAAAGCTGATATAAGACAAAGACAAAAATCCCCCGTATAGCCTGTAATGGACTGTTGGGGCAAGTGCTGTTAGCGAGTAGCACCTATAAAGGTCGGTACAACACACGAGGGGGTGGGTGACCAACACCACGCCCGGCCGCCTTTGTCTCCCTAGTGGCGATGTTTACACATCGCACCAGGTACTCATTTGAGGCTGAGTCGAACTAGGAGAGGCCCAGGACCGGTTCAGATAATCGTCACTGATGTTGGCCATGAGCGGGAATCGAACCCGGGTCACCAGGTTCGTAGCGCAACGCACTAACCGCTACACTACCGCCCCCCACAAATATACACGAACACACACACACACATCGTGTAGGAAATGTCCAATGTCCAGTTGGGGTCATCTCAGCCCATGACTACCTCAGCCAGGTCTCGACCTGAACAACACCGCGTGGGACCGTGCTGTTTCGTGGGAACGAGACGCCCGTGTTCTTTCGTGGTCGGCGGCGGCGTCCACAGGAGCGGACGCCGGCAATGACGACCACATTTTTTTTATTGAACCCATATCAAACAGTCACGTACAGCAGAGGGCACACGTACGTACGCAAGTAAGGTCAACGCGTCTGGGGATGATTGCACCGTCTGGGTAAGGCTTTTCTCTAAACAGCAGCTTGTTAAGGTGGACAAGGTTCATTTTCTCACCAAGGTGGGGGGGGGGGGGGTGCAAAAACATTTATTTACGAAAATAAAAAACCTTATTTGCACCTCGGAGAAAGCGCCGCCTGCCATAGTTCTGTGGATGTTCCACCACAGGCTCAGGACCTTGAGGGGAGATGAACAACTGCGTCATGATTAGTCGAACACACGGGGATATTTTTTTTGTGAATGGGCAGAGCCCCAACAACTCCGCGCCCGCTGACCCGCAGAATATGACATTGTGGGCCCTCGTGTAAATAACCGCGGGGCAAAATTGTAAGGAAGAGCCAATTACGCAAAGCCCCGTGTAACAGGTTCACTCTGGGAAGGATGGATGGCCTGCCGGTGAGCCAGCGTGCGTGTAGCCGACAGCTTAATCCTTGTGGCTGATTTCTGGGAGGAATTTCCTATGACCCTCGTGAC